ATTTTGCTTGTGGTGGGGCAGATTGGGGTGAAAGTCGATGAGACAGGCGACGGGGCGGGAGGATACCGCCGTGGATGCTAGGGAACGATGCAGGATGAGGATGCAGAGGGGGAAGAGGTGGGCGAGGGTGTACTTTGAGTGGGCAAGGACGAGGAGAAGAGCACGAAGGTAGGATCCCGATGGGGTGCGAGCGAGAAGGGGGGAGGAGGGGGAGGAGGAGGTGGCTCCGGTATTGACCCAAGCTTGACGTTATTAAGGGTGCTCCAGTGTGGGTTTCGCAGCGTCGAGTGGAGGAGAAGAGAAAGATGGCGATGGGACGATGAGCTCAGGGGGCAGCGCCGCCCCGAAGGAGCAGTCAGGCGATGAGGATTCAGATGTGGACGACGTGCAGCTGTCAGAGTACTGGGCCATGAAGCTGGCGGAGTCGATCGCTGGTGATATTAATTCTGATCAGGACCCTGGAGGGTTTCCGTCGTAGGGGGGGAACTCCTGATGAGAAGGATCAGCACATCGTGGAAGGGGGGATGGGGAAAGGGGGGGATGATGGGCAGCATCACGAGGATTCCATGGATTACGAGGAGCTGACGAACAGGGTGGAGGAGGTGCAGTGCCAGATCGATGGATATGTATGGGACATGGCCTGCGACGTGGCAGATATTCCCGCTGTCGAGGCGGGCATTCCCGCATTCCTCATCTTTAGTGTTTGTGCTTCTCTTCCTTCCAGCAGTTGTGTCTCTCTCTCGCTTCCTCCTCCAATCCCAGACCTCCTCCAGCATCGATTTTTTCGATCCTGGATGGCGGGCCAGGCTCGAACAAATCAATGCTGGAGGATGTCAGGGAACGTGTATATATGTGTGTATATATATGCACACTCGTATAACTATCTCTCTCTATCCCTCTCTCACTCGTTCTCCTGCTCTCTCAGACGTGCTATGCCTGTCTGGCTCCTCCCGTCCCCTCGCTCTGTCTCTACCTTTTTTTTTTTTTTTTTTTTTTTTTTTTTTTTTTTTTTTTTTTTTTTTTTTCTGTCTCTACCTCTTCTTCTTCTCTCTCTCTCTCTCTCTCTCTCTCTCTCTCTCTCTCTCTCTCTCTCTCTCTCGATCTCTCCCTCCCTCGGAATTGGCCCAGGACGAGGGTGGCTGCGAATCGATGTCGTGCTCCTCCAAGGGCCCCGACGTCAAGCTCGCCGAGACCCACCGCGGCACGTCGAGCTCAGGGGCCATGAGCTCAGGGGCCACTAGCTCGAGCTCGAAGCCCCCGTTCCCTTTCTCTGCGAGCATGCTCGGCGTGACGATCGACGACAGCGACAGCGAGAAGGGGATGGAGAATAAGAAGTAGAAGAAGGCTGTCCACAAGAAGTCGAAGGCTGGACTGGCGAAAGGCGTGAGTGCTGAGATGATTGACGTCGACGCCGAGGACGTGATGAGCGGGTCCCCAGTGCTGAACGAGATCCCGAAGTGGCTCGTCGAGAGGGCGAAGGGCGACACGCCGAGGAAGCGTCCGTCAGCGGGGCCGATGAAGCGCCCCGCCAAGGCCGGCGCCACGCCGAAGGCAGCAGCGAAGAAGATGAAGGCCTCCAAGGATGAGGGCCACGATGAGGAGAATGGCAACGAGTTCGAGGGCGAGGGCGATGACGCGGAGCCCGAGGAGGGAGAGGAAGAAGAGGGCGCCGAAGAGGACGAGGAAGAGGATCCCCAGGAGGGAGAGGAGGACGAGGTCCCAGCGACCCAGGTGGACGATGAGGCGGGCGAGGACGACGCGCCGTGGCCCATCCAGGCGACGTTCAGCGTCAAGGGCCAGAAGAACGAGTTCCAGGTGAAGCTGAATCGCAGGGAGTCGGAGAAGATCTCGGTGATCGACTTCAGGCAGGTCCCAGACTCGTGGAAGCAAATGATTCAGATCTCGGACCACTCGATGTCTGAGAACTACGGGCTCTACAACAAGGGCAGCGCGAAGGAGGCGGGCATGTTCGTCATGAAGAAAGTGTTCGGCATGGTCGTCTCCACCTCTGCGGTGACCAAGGCGAGGGCCAACGCTATCAAGCACGAGGCCCTGGTCATGTGGGTGCAGACGGACTCGCAGCTGCCAGGATGAAGCAGGACGCGAATCCATCATAATTGAAACCGTGACGCCCTCCCTCATCCGCCTCATCCTCCTCATCCTTGTATATCCCCTCATCCTCATCTCCCTCATGGGTTTCCAGGCCCCGCATTTTTAGACCCACTTTAAGCTTTGAAGCTCTCTGGGCAATGGCGTGAATCTCCTCTTCCCCCTCGGCCAGCCCCCCGCGGACCCCGGAGGGCCGTGTCTCATGAAGGTTGAGGTGATCACACGTGCGACGCACCGCTGCGTGGACCGAGGGTGGGGGGGCGCATTTCAATCACGGGGGATCGACCGAGGAGGGCGAGCGGGGAAGGAGGTGGAGAGAGGGGGGGGCGGGAGGGCGATGAGCGGAGGTAGCGGTATGATGAGAGATGGGGTAAACACTCACGAGGCGGAGCGAGGATGAGGATGCAACACGAGGTGGTCGACCCGAGGGGGGAGGAGCAGCAGCGGCAGCAAGCTCTCGTGAAGAAGAGAGGTGAGGGATGCACCGAGGCGGGAGACGTCGGAGGGAAGGACGCTACTGGTACCGACGTCGAGCTTGTGACTGTGAAGCTTGGCGCTATCTTTTGATTCATGGGTGGCCAGGGGTTTTGCATGAGGGTGGCAGGGGCTACAGGACAGGGTTCACTGCGCAGCGTGACCAGGAGTTGCAATC